CATTCTTCTTGTCGTGTTCTTTGGATTATTCCAACCATGATTCGTTTCATACACGTATGTATATCATGATTCTTGTTGCTTAGACTCTAAGGTAGCTTAGGATGCTCCCCGAGTCTTACTTGGACATAGACGTTAGGTGTCATGAGCCCCTTTGACATGTTTCACCTTAAGGTGATAAATTTGTAAAATGCTAGGTCGATGCATACTCATCTCCTACGAGTAGCTTTATGTTACTCACCCCTACGATACTGGGGCATATTTCAGGTACGAAGACTTGGTTCATGACGCCTAGCATTCCTTGGATGTCGTGTAGCTTTCAAATTTCTATTTCATGCAAATGTTAGCATGAAATGTCATTTTGTAGACTTATATGTCAAAATATGTATATTTGATTCCATGTATGTAATGTGTACTTAAGTACACTCCTTTCAATGTATTTGATATGTATGAGATGAGGCCGGAGGCCAATGACCATTATATTGTATTCTATGTACTTTTTAACTTCATAAAATATTGTGAAAATCTTGAAAAATCGCAAGTCATTGCTTCACTATGGTTGTATCGGGTGTGGGAATTCCGTTTTCATTCTTTCATAGGGTCTTATAAATCATGTTTGAAGTGTGGCCAAGGGCCAAACGGTCATTTGATCCCGTTTTGTATTTTTGGATTCCGAGTTTTCATTCCAAGTTCCATTTTTGCCTTTTTGCCCGTTGGGAGGTCGGATTTTGTATCGGTGATATATTTAAGTCGTGAACCATTGTAGCACGTCCAAATAGGTAAGTTATGTTTGCGTGCATGGTCGTTTCCGGGCAAAACCTTATCGTTTATGTTTTGAGCCTCTTGTGAATTCATTTTCGCATTTTTTTTGTATATTCTGATCTAGGGGCATTATGGACCTTACACGGTGGTTTTATTTTTTTCTTTCAACATGGTTGAATAGAAAACATGATTTTAGGGGAGGTTTCTTTTCCGTGTTTTTCCAGAAAATGTCGTCTTGATATCGAAAATCGCTTACGAAGTTCAGTTCTCAGTTTTCAAAATAGCAGCTTTTTGGACCTCCGTGACCAGATTTCATGGAGGGGCATTTCGGGCATTCTATATTGCATTTTTTTTTTAATTCTCTCGCGAGTCACGTAGAAAACTCAATTTTGAGGGGGGTTTCTTCTCTGTGTTTTTGCAAAAAAATTCATGTAGGCCTCCAAATTCAGCCTCTATTCCGGATTTTTCTGAAAAACAAACCCACAGCTTTATGGGCTGCTGCTGCCAGCCATGTGTGCACCGGCGCGTGCACAGCGTGCATGGGCGTGCGCACGGCGTGCATGGGCGTGCTCATGGGGCTGTCATGGCCCCTCGTCGGGCCGCCGCGACGTCAATTCTTCTTTTGGGCTTTTCTCCTTCGTCCAGACTCCGATTCAAGTGAATTTTTTTTTTAACTTGACTAATTCTTCGCTGTCTTTCCAACAGTGTACTCGGTTGCACCCAGTTCTTCCTGGATAATTACCAGTTTACCCTTTTTGCCTTAAATGCTTGTTTTTCTTCGCCATGCCGTTTCTCCTTCGTCCGGACTCTGAATCATGCGATTCTTGAGTCCATCTTGTTTAGCTTTTCATTGTCCTTCCAGCGGTGTGCTCGGTGGCACCCGAATCTACAGTTTCAGAAATGACCATTTTGCCCTTGGGGGCCTGTTCAGTCTTTTTCTGATCATTCGTTCCCGCATTAGTCCTTATTGAGTTCCACGACCTCACAGAAGGTCACTTTGACTTCTTAAAGTCTTGTTTTCTATTTTCGCTTCCGCATTCGGATCCGTTATCGGGTCAACCTTCGGTTCATCACAGGACACGCTGGCCTAAAAAATCAGGGTCGTCACAATGTAATGGAAACCTGACCACGCTCAGATAAAAGGCTGAGAAAAGGATCTCCCCCTCTAAGAGACCGACGCTGGTCTCAGGGTTGATGTTCCTAGGATAGTGTCTCAGGTAGATGTCGTTGGGGATCTCACACCGGACATAGAGGGATGCGAGATCGCCAACCATAGCAATAGCACAAGGGGAACCCCCCCAACAATAAACAAAAAGAGGAATGATTTTGTAAAAACTACAAGGGAGTTGAACTTACCTCAAAGAATGAAGCTAAAATACAGCCATTGGGAAGACACAGGTCGAAAGTTTCAAAGTTTCGCTAGAAAAGGACTCCTTTACAACCAGAAACAGAGTGAAGTTCAGGACGATAAAAAAGGCGAAAAGGACGAAAGAGAAAAGAAGGACGCGGGTCAGGAATTTAAAAGGTAATCGCTGACCGAGGCGACACAATATTTATAACGCCACATGTCCCAAAGTGCCAATGTCTAAGTGAATCGTCCACCTTCCCACGCTATCATTTCGAGCCATCACATCATAAAGTCCCATCCCTCATTAATCTCGCCATAATAAATTAAATAGAGGTTAGGGGGTAGATGAAGGGGTCGGATCAGCCTTGGGCCGGATCAATGAAGCCAAGAAGCGTTTTGGGCTTTGGGGCAGCCCAACAAGGACGATCCTGAGCCCAATCAAAGGCCAGTAGCTCATTAGGCCTCTGCTAGCTCAATCTACCCAACCAAAGGTGTTGTTAGGCCATTACCATGCCCAACTTCACCAGCATTTTGGGCGGGCTTCCCATATAATGTGGCCCGAGGAGAAGAGCCAGCCCAAAAAGGCCTAAACTTGAGAGCTAAGAGAGAGGTTTTAGGGCCAATGTAAACTTTTATAAATAGAAGTGGGAGAGAAAAAAAAAAGAGGCAGATTGTTTGGAGTGTGAGAAAATTCTTTCTGAATATAGAACGACATTTTCTCGCATCTTCACCGTTCTAACATAGATTCAAACTTATAAGAGATTCGGTCTACCAAATCTTCTAACTTTCACTCTTGAGAATGAATGGATTTTGTTTGATTTTGAGCATACCTATCTTGCTCGAAAGCCTCATGCAGATGTTTTCCATGATAGGCCTGTTTGCTTTGAGTAAACTTTTCAAACATATCTTTTTCTTCGAGTGCAACTCGTGAACTTTCCATTGGAAGTTCACTAGCTTGCATTTCATCCACTTCGGCAGGGTCTTGGACAGACTTACCTTGCCTTCTTCCACCAACCATGGAACAATCTTTCTAGAAGGTCCGGCGAGGCATGCCAATATGTTTGGCTCACAAAAAATGAGTCCCATTCAGGTGAGTGGAAGGGTTGCAGGCGTGCCAGGAATCACTGTCATTCCAATGAGAAGCTCCAAACAATATTCCAATGAATAATTGTTGGGATCAGGCGATTGAAAGGAAGCTTGGAATGACCACTTCCAGGGGTTCTTTTTGCCTTGAAAAAAGACTTTCTATAGCTAGTGGTAAGGAAGACGAAATTGAAAGTGCAGGACTTGAAAGTAGATGAACTATGAACTACTTGTTGGAAAGTAGGAAAAGAAAGTGCTGGACTTAATTTAAACATGATGTAAATTCATTGTTGGAATAAAAAGATACATGAATTGAATAGCAAAGTGTTGTATTGATTTATTGTGTGTGTTGAACAGGATTTGCTTACTGCACATAAATATCCTATTTATAGCAACGTGAAGATTAGGGGCATGAGGTATGGTAGGTACTAACATATCATTGTGGCATGCGCCCAAATCCATTCATTAGATGTTGTGCCGCTTGTGGAGGTGGGAGGGCGCACAATGACTCGCATCCACTTATCGTCAGTGGAGAGAAAAGTGGCAAAACCTGCATTCTTGGGCAGCCGTTTATTAATGTTAATTCCAATAGAAAAAGGAGCACGTACCGACCTCCTTGTAACTTCATTCTAGCATTCAAGAACATAATTTTCAACAAGTATGAGAAACATCAGAGATGGGGTCCCTGGAAGCTGCTTCAACGCGTAACACTTTTTGATCTTCAGAACTCTTAACTTTACGAAAGTAATGAGGCAACGTCCTTAGCTTCCCTTGCATTCACTGCATTCTTTTGTCCTTCAAGTTAGCCTTCACTGCATTTTCAAAATGTGCAGTGTTCCAGTGAGGTATAGCATGTTAATTCTTCAGTTCTTCAATTCTGTATCCCTCCTAACGACCAACCGAAAAAGTTTCCAGATTGTGTAGACTTGTTATGCTACCCATTCTTCGAGGCAGCATCCTGGAGCACTTGTACCAGAGAATATGTCATCGAACTCAAGGTGTCACAGGTGAACAAGGTTAATTAAATCCTTTGGTAACTCAAGAAACCAAAGGCAACCAAGGAGTTTCAAGGTTTGCAAATTGTGGAAGGCTACATATTGAATTGGGCACGACTGGGGAGTCTTGCCATTACGGTTATCACCAAAGCCAAGCCTTTGCCTTTGTGCACAAATATATATATATATATATATATATATATATATATATATATATATATATATATTTGTGCACACTCTCTCACACACACGTCTCCAATGAGGCTTTAATTGGTACTCACACACATGCCTTCACTAAAGCTTGAACTCCTGACCTCCCTTCGAAAAATAAGGGTCTTATACCTCTTATACCGCTGGATTACTGGCCCTACCAATGTCTTCTACCACACCTCTAGGATTTGAACCCAACCAAGAGTTGTAAGAAAAACGCATTAAGGAATAGTAACCAAGAGTAGTAAGAATCCTTATAGACATGCAGTGAAGGGTTTGGTAAATCTTCCTTCCATGAGCATTCTGTATTTATATATTTGAAGTTAAATACTTGCAATAGTAAGAATCCTTATGAAGAAAATGCGGAAATAGCCAAATAAATTATTGGATGTGTGCTAGTTTTAAGTGGTCGGAAGTTTAAAGATATCAAATTTCTGTAAAGAGAAACCCAAAAGGGAGTGTATAGAGCTTAACATTAAGAATGGTCAAAGTGGAGAAATATCCTTCACTCTTACCAATTGCACCTCACGTGGACTTATCTTTAAAGGTGCTATTATCAGGCCCACAAACTGACTAAAACAACCATTAACACAAATAACGTATGATGTTGTTAACAATCAGTTCATGTCCTCCTCCATTGAATTCACTGGTCATACACATATAAAAACATATCACCATCCATCTTAGAGGTGTACAAACTAGAAGGATTTTTGTACTCGGAACAAAAAAAGTTCCCAATAAAGGATAGCTTTACAAGTTACGAATAAAATTAGCAAAAACAATAATATTATATATATATATATTACAAAGAAAAAACATAGAGCTAGTCTAGAATTGGAAACGGTTATATGATATGGAAATTGAAGGAAATCTCAAGCTGATGTTGTGAATCCGTCATCTTAAGGTGCTTTGTGAACATTACATATACATTCTGGGTGTGGGTTCTGATAAAAGGATTCTTCAGTCCTCAATCGTGCTCGGCCTTTGATACCTGGAAGGGGGCCTCCCCTTTTCCTTGGAGCTCCTTGCCTGCAAGTGCAATCTGTTAAAGCTGCTTCTTGATATAGGGTCCTTGATGTTGTTTCAGTAATATGGGCACTTCAAACAATTTAAGCACTTAAAAGTTTCATAATTCTTTTCTTTTTCTTTTTCTTTTTTCGGTAAAAATGGTAAGCTTGATTAAAAAAAAATGTTTTTTCATTATGTTCTCTACAGAAATTTCAACCAAATAAAAATTGCAAACATATTACCTTTTCTTATGCAACTGCATCACAAGATATGACAAAGATGATCCTTCTTTAAGCAATCCAATTTCCAGCTTATCAAATATTTCAACTAGACCTTTCCTGCAAATAATTTTACAGAAAGGCATAAGAGAGAGGAAGAAGAAAATCAGAAGAAATAAATATATCACACGAAACAGTTTTGTCCATTATGGTCCCTTTAGGCAGGCAGTGCATTACAACACCGCAGATAAATTGGCACCATCAGGCAACATGCTATAGTCTCAACATAGTAGGAAAAAAGCCCAAGTTTCAAGGAAATGCAATTACTTCAAACTAAAGTGGTATAGGCAAATATTAAAGGTTTAACAATGGAAAAATATTTGGGGACAAACAGAGATATAGAGCAAGAGTGCAAGACATCCAATTCTTTGGAGTACTTAGATATTGGGGTGGAAATTTTTTCAACCACTTTTGTACAGGTAATAAGGTAAACCATGTATCACCATAGGTTTGCAGTTTAAAAACTACAGATGTATCACATATATTTCCCAAGGAATTACTTTTGTTGCAACAAATGAAGTCCAAGGGAAAAAGGAAAAATGCCTATCCCTGGCAGTGACTTCCATGCAAGTAAAACTCTTGAATGTAGCAAAGATTGGTAACTTATTGGTTGATTTGAAGGAAAAGTTAAATAATTGCTATCAGGATTCAGGAAGCCCTACAAAACACATTCCATTGATGTTGCGTTTGGAAACATTGAATCAGCGCTTTGGGTTTGGAAATGGAGGAAATTCAGTTCAGTGTTCGAACTAAATTTCATCCAATTCTAAATCCAAGGCACCGATCCGGTGCTCCCAAACATAACATGAAGGTTTTCTCAAGGGTATACTGGAAAGACCAACTTCCTATTAGAAAATTCCATCTTGGGCATGAATGACATGAAACCAAGGGAACAGAAGTTTCAGGTCAAAAAGGCCAGGACTTGAAATATCAAGTATAAAAGCTAACCACGAGATCAATCCAATTGTATTGTCAGCTAGCCCGATCATTAGGCTGTCCAACTTTCACCTTAAAAGAATACAGAAAAGATCATCTTTAAATCAACTGCATACCTGTCTGGAGTGATTGTCTTCCTGTGACCTAAGAATCTGCGGTGCCCTTCAACAGCTCTTGCCATGTTACCTGAGTATGAGGGAATGAATACGTCACTCTCAATAGAGATGATATAATCAAGTGCTGCAGTTTGAGAAGCATGTTTGATGAATGTTTTCAGTTCTTCTTTGGTCGCCAATGATTCCTGTTACCAATCAAAAACCCAGTTTACAGTTGTACACAGTTTGTGGTACTAAACTATTTTGATTTTTGCCAATGCAAGTAAGATGCAAGTGTTGACAAACCTTGGAAACCACATTTGGAAAGCGTGACGTGAGCTCTGAGAGGTGAGTGTTACCACCATAAATTTCCCCAGCTGCAATATAAATTAATGTTGATGGAGGATAACCAAGAGCCTGAAGAAATATTCCCACCTCCTTGGGCGTCAGCGGACAAAAGCCTTCAATTCTCTGTTCCGTTGAGTTTATTTTCTTCATTTTCCAGTGGCTTGTGCTCTCCCTATTGAGAGAGAGAGAGAGAGAGAGAGAGAGAGAGAGAGAGTGAGATAAGTCATCGATCTACACACTATGCCATCAAAATTAGAAGTACAGCAACAGAAGAATGCTTGACTCAGGATTAGAGGGCTGGAATAAGCCAATTTTCTCTCCCCACTATGGATGGTCCTAATTATCTGATCTACTGCATTTTTTAAACGATTGCACCATACAGTTAATAATACAAATGAATATCATATGATTCATATCTAACATATCAGAAATAACTCTTGCAAAAGAAAACAAAAATTATCATCATCGTTGCCTTTATCCCATATGGATGGGTCGGCCACATGTATTCTCTTTTTCCATTCTGAATTCAATTATATTGAAACATCTAACATTCAGACTTGTTCAAAGAAATATAATAATAGTATGAAGACGATTTGAGAATTTATATATATATATATATATATATATATATATATATATATATATATATTGAAATTTCAATGTCCTATGTCAATCTCATTCAGTAAGCAAAATTCATAATGAAGTCCACAATCCAAAAAAACTTGCTAATTCTTGAAAGGATGCTTAAACTGCTCATTGATCGAGTCATGCATAGTCGCTTCAAAGGGAACTAGTGAATAACAATTATTGCAGAAATTTGGGCTCCCCATATCACCTAGACATCTATGTTTGTACATATGCATGAATGTCTGCTGTCTGTATTAAGTATATTGTTGGACAGACTTTCACCTCATTATTCTCAACTCATCAGATTCCGCATCAGTAAGACCATAAGTACAGCCAGTGAAAGACAGCATGTCTTTTTCATATCTCAGATGAAGAGCAATGTATCTTCCTCCACGTGATCTCAGCCTCTCCACCAGCTTCTGTGGTGTCAGCGTCATGTATTCTCAGAACCTAATTTAAAAAGAATCCCCATAGGAGACTTCTCAAATGCATCCGAATGAAACCAAATATGGAAAGAAAAAAAGTCATATGCATCATGTTACGGAAAAAAGAAATGTGGATACAGTAGGTTTTTAAACCCTAATGTAATTGGAAATTTTTGATGTCCCATTTTAGCGCTACAAAATTTTATGCATATCAAATTTTTGATCCGTCATAACTTCCATTTTTTTAAATGTTCCAGCAAAAAAAATCATCAATACTACAAAAACTATAACAACTTCAGTAGTTTCACTTAATTGCAAATGGAACAAGAATCTATTCCCAAACTAGAATCTACAATACTAATTATGGTATCAGGTAATTGATTATGAAGAAATGGTAGTTCAAACCTTTCCCAGGTTCTCAATTGGAGGAGAAAAACGGAGAGCATGATATAGAGCACGGCATCTCAATCTTTGGATATCAAGAGGGAGATCATTGTTTGCAAGCCGAGAATCTGATTTTGCAACATGAATTACCTGAATAAATCGCCCCTCTAGTTCAAAATCAAACTTAGCAATCAAAGACAAAATGATCGATGGTTTAAGCTCAAAAAGCTATTTCCGGCAAATTAATAGCAACAAAGACTAATTATATTACTAATTTAGTAGGTGTAGTAACATCATAATGAAAGGTGCTTCCTCAGAAACCTACTGATTCATTTATCTTAAATATCATTCAAAGAAACTTCCTTTGTTGAATGAACTGGAATTTGGGGGGAGAGAGATGATGTGGTGTTTCAACTACCGTTTACAATATTTTGGCAATGTATTCATGAACTCATTCTTCCTTTGTTCATCTTTCTTCATGAACATCATTATATTTTGGGGAGGGGGCAGCAAGCAGTTACCAGTAGTGACTCTATTCTAGTTGAAGGATTGGAACATAAAATGGCTCTTGATGACATAATCTAAACAGATGATGCACAAAACATAAAATAACAAACCTGATAGTCACTCCATAATTTTGTCATCTCCTCGTAGTAGCTCAAACCAGACCAAGAAGTGAAGTGCTTCCGGGCACGAGGAACAGATTCCAACTCCTTAGGAAGCTCACTGATTACCTTCACATCTCCTTCTAAGGTTGAGATAAAATGATGTTCATCAAATATATCTGAAAATGCACTGCACAAGTCCATTGAAATAGAAAGCGTAAGTAGGCACTCTAGAAAACTGAGTATATTTTAACAATCCATACATGAGAAGTAATTGCACATGAGAGAATAGCAGTCGTAGCATATTATTCCAAGATGACCTTGAATCTTGCCAGAATGAGCGTTTATCCAGTTGAGGTATTACTAATGTTGCATTCATTATGCGTGCCACAGCCACCATATCAGATATCTATTGGCAAAACAAGGATAGCGGATTTCAGTTATCAATAAAATAAGATAATATTAAAATAAATTGAGTAGCCGGATAAAAAAATCCTACATAGTCAAATACTTGCAATGACGAGTAAAAGAACTCTTATGCTCTCACAAAAGTGTGCCTTTCTACATGCACATATGTGAATCCAAGCATGCATGTGGCATGCAAAAAATATTTTCCAATTTCAAAGAAACATCCAAATGCCCTATCATGAATAAGAAAATCTTAGCCTTTTTGTTTTCTTTTAACTTAAAATACAATAAGAATTCCAGAGGCTAACGATATGAGATATGGACACGACTTGATATAGACATGGTGAACTGATAAATACAGTTCCAGCGAGGGCAGAATGATAAATGCATAATTATTAAGATATATACATATCTATGTAAAAATTTAGGATAAATTACACCGACACCCCTTGAGGTTCGGTCATATTTCAACTAGATGATGATTTTGGTTTAACTTTCACTCACACCCCAATTTACTTTTTGGCCTCTAACACATGTGAATTGACCTTTTTACCCTCATTTTTTTAATACTAATCTTAAATGACAAAAATGCCCATATATATATATATATATATATTTAGAATTTGGAAGGCACTGTGACACCTCGAACCCTGTAAAAAAAGCTTTAGCTGAATGAGTTTGCCGGGCATCTCAGAGGTGTTCATTCAGCATCGCAAAATGGAAGTGATCTGAGAAATCGGAAAGCTCACCTCCAAAGTTTCCTGAACATATCATTATCAAAGAAAGGGGTTAGCAGAGGAGTTTCAAATAAATGGGTCAAAGTCACCGACATTAGCCAACAGAGTGAGTGGTGAGGGAAGCAGAGGCTGATATATATATATATGGGTATTGCTAAAGCAGAGGTTGTCCGCTGTAGACCCAGAAGTTCAGAAGACCAAACACTCACAACTCTCTCTTCCTCCGTTTACCAAATCAGTGCTCCATTGAAGACCAACCGACGGCTCCGATGGCAATGGTGGATCGCCGAAAGCGATGGATTCGCCGGTGTGTGGCGGTGAAGAAAAATTTTGAGTTGTCGAGATGGTCTCTGCATTCTGATTCGGCAAAGACGAGGTGATTCTGCAATTCTGATCCGAAATTGCTTTGTCGTGGCGGCGATGAATTCTCCGGCGAAGATGATGCGATGGTTGAGAATCCCACCGCATTGTCACAGAAAGGTTGCCTCGAGACCAGAGAAGTTGACGGCGACAACCACAAGGGAGCCAATAGTGGTGATGAATCATTCACCAAAGTGACAACGGAGTAATGAGCTTTGGCGGCAACGCTACGATCCCGATGGCAACAGAGACAACGTCGGTGGTGAACAATGTTTGGTGGAGATTCACCCCAGCGAGGATTGCAGAGGAGATTAAAAACCCCTATCAAGCATGGAAACTATGTTGCGATTCGGTGAGAGGTGGGTCTTATGATGAGAACCTCTCCCGGCTGTGAACAACTTTGGGTCTTGGGTTTGGCTTGATGTTCGATTTTTCTGCAACTAATATGTTGGTGGTGAGGGCAATGGAGCGGTGACAGTGGTGTTCAAGTGCACAAATAAGTGGCATTTTCACCGGACTGAAAATTCTAATAAAAAAAATGAAGTGACCCTCCATCTATTTCGAATTCTTTCTAACTTCCAAGCTACTTAACTCAACTCAATGTCTATGTCATTTTCACCTTCCCTTTCAAAGGTTCACTCACCACCTCACAGGCACAGTTCGGGACTATAAAAGAAGAAGCAAAGAGGCCGACGAAGCTCTTAACCATTCTCATGTATGGATTGGGGCTTCGAGCGGTGATGGAGAAGGATATGGGTCTACAGGTTACAGAGAGAAAGGATATGGGTTTGTAGGCAAGTCCATGTTGGAGGAGAGAAAAGATGGTTATGTGTAAATTATTTTGCTTACATTGGTGCATGTTGGGATAGTTTGGTCACAAAAATAGTCAACATGAGGTCAAAGGGTAGTATAGTCATTTAACACCTCAAAAATACCAAAAATTGACATGTGGGGTGCAAGTAAAATGTAACTAATTCAAATATAAGTGAAATTTAAAACCAAAATGTTAATCTAGCTGAAATATGACCCAACCTCGGGGCGGCCGCGGCGCCCGGGGGGGGGGGGGGGGGGTTGTGGCCCAAAAATTTAAGATAATAATTGTTTTTAAGGTTATATGGAAAATTCCTTTTCAATCGACAATCAACTAAATGACCACTCATGGGGCTGTGGGTCTCACAATGACTACTTATGTTATATATATCGTGACTAACTTTCCGTTTGAGTAAAATGTGACAAAAGGAAGCAAAATCCGTTGGCCGACCCATCATCTGATACAGCTCCACTCTACAGGAAAAACTAGATCACCCCTAGGACGCCTTATAAAAAAACTTATAACTAACATGCTGTGAGTTCTGTTACATGGATTTTTTTATAAGTAAAATATTCATTAAAGAGTGCTCAAAAAGGAAGTGCACTCATATACAACTGCACAAAAGACAAAACCACTAAGCTCTCAAGCTATCCACAAAATTTACAAAGTTTTCCCATAGGTTTACAATGCTACCCTTTGACCCAAAATAAATAGAGAACTCAAGATGGAGTGTTTTAACACCCAAATAGAAGCTTCCTTCCATCAAAGGATGTCCTAATCCTCTCCCACCACAAACCCCAAACCCCAAACCTATCTTTAGCTATCAATAACTCTTGTTAATTGCAAGGCGAAGACTTTAGCTATTAGCTATTAGCAAATGTTACCCAGCAACGTACTAGTCTAAAATCCTTTAGTTCTATAGCACCACCCTTCTTAGGGATATGAGAAATGAAGAGGGCGTTGAATCTCGCCTCAAACCGATCATCTATATTACCTGGACTCACCATTGAAGCCCAAAGTGTCTGTTTTGACACGACACAACACCGATGCGCCAGACACTCTCTACAATCTATCGAAAAAAGCTACAAGTGAAGAAGCTTTGCGGAGGACTCTACTCGCTTGGTGTTCTGTTTGCTGTAAAAAATCTCGATCTGAAAATGGAGATTTTTAGAGGTTGAAGATGTTTGGATTTTCACGTGCTGGCTTCCAGGACTTTTTACCGACCAAAGAGTGGCTTTCATGTCCTTTTCTGATTTATAACACATGGCTTGATCAAATTTTTAGAAGGTTGTGATGTTTACACGTTGACATTATTTATGAGTTGTCTACCACTTACCTTGGTCTACTTTACCTTTTCAACTTCTACAATTAATTATTCATTCTGGAACCTGTTATGACAAACGCAATGAACCCAAGTCGAATCAAGAATCACGACAGAAAAGTAAACACGCCACACAAAAGATTTATACGTGGTTCGGCAATAGCCTACGTCCACGGTTGGGATCCAGCGAAAGTTTGCACTATATATCAAATCGGATATTACAAGTTTTCTGTACAAATTTCAGAGACTCTCTCTTTCAGCCCTCCAAACCCTAAGCGCCCTTATATATTGGGCTACAAGAGATTAATTAGGGTCCACAAACCATGAGCAACAAAGGGGTAAAAAAAATTTCCTCGAGGCTCAAAGCTCAACCAACGGGTCGTTGGATTATAAGCGGGTCGCAACACGACCCAGAACCAAATTCAAGCCACAATATCACGGAACCATTACCTCAAGCTTTATAATTGAAGTCTTCTGCTTTAATTGGAAAACGTGCATGGAAGACATCCATTTATCATATATCCCTACAACTTCTTATTTGATTCAATCTCTTCAAATTCTTTTAATACTCCAAGTAAATATTAACAAATACAATACATCAATTTCTTATTACAGAAGAAAAAAAAAAAAAAAAAAAAACATAGATATGACAAAATCACAAGTCGACTTTTTTTTCGTTTTTTTGTGTTAGAAAGTATATAAATATAATATTTCGTATAATGCAAAAGAAATTACAGAAGAATGTAATAGATAATTACATGCAAATTAGTCATTTTCAAGTCAAAAAGCAAATTGATACAATAACTAAGAAAAAAGGATGCATAAAAATCAATAAGTATAAAAATTAAACTTGTTCTAATAAAATTGAAATTCAAATGATCCATTCTTGCATTTGTAGCTGTTCCATTTAGAACCTCATATACATGTTTTCTAATACAAGTTTCAGGAATTGCTATAAACTTAAGTATGATGATAGACTTGGATTATTTAATAATTTTACTTACATTTGTATACGAATTGTAAATTATTTTAATTAATACTTTGTATAGTGCCAAGTACATGTGTTCAATTTTTGGACATTTTGTGTCCCCGTGTCCTATAATTTCATAGAAAGATGAATCCAACCCATGGATACACACCCGTGTCTGCAGTATCTGAGTCTAGGTAAATAGGCTATTATGTCCATGGAAGAAGCTAATAGTGGAAATCACCTCTTTCCTAAACCAGCCTCCCAAAATTCTGTTGGAAAAATGCCATGGTGACACCGTATGACCCCAAAGCCTCATCTCCATTGCAACTCTTCAAGACAACTACCATCTCTTCCTCCTCAAATGGTCTTTCCAACCAAGCTCTATCTTCTTCAAAGATGTTTGCAAACTCCAACCCATTGAGCAAGGGGGGTCTTTAATGAAAACTCTTCAAATACAATGTAATTCCTCTTCTAAAATCATCCTCCTTAGTCAACAACTCACCGCCAATAGGAATTCTTCGGATATGATTACCCCCTCCGATGGGCATTTGCCAACCGATGGAAGAATTTCGTATTCCTATCCCCTTCCTTGAGCCACAAGGCCCTATACTTTTGACGCCAAGAGATCTCCGAAATAGCAATCTCAGCAAGCTCCGCCTTGTACCCCTCCCTTCTATGTATTTCCACTTTATCCAACCCCACCACCCCTTCACTACGATCCAACTCTGAAACCTCCATTATAAGCCCTATTGATAGAGAACAGTGGCTGCAGCCTTTTAAAGTGTATAAAAGGTGTGGCAAG